CTGATTGTTGGCACAGCTCTGTTACCACCACACCAACATGAGCGCCAATTGGATAGGATCCCATAGTCAGTGTGGAGAATTACTTCTTTGCGTGTTTTAATATCGCTGATGTTGCTGCTAGTTTTACACTCAAACAGTACAAAGTAAGTAGGGTTTCGTGTGCATTGGAAGAAGCTGTGAACGCTATTCAACCCCCCGTACAATGACAATGTTTGCATGTGATTATTCAGTGCAGCACCACTTAGAATTCATTCTAGGGTGGAGTTTAGAGAGATTTCAGATCCTCGTATACTGTGAAATCTTTTGGTATGGCCACAATTTAAAAACTAAAAAACTGATTAGAAATAACAATACTGAGCCAAAAATGCCAACTCACTTTTGGCACCTGCAATACTGATCAGCAGGAGCTTGCTATGGATGAAAGAAATCCTTAAAAAAAACCTTAAAAACAAAACTGAAGAGGGGTTTTTCCATGGTATGCAATGGATGTTTCTTTTTTTACCTACTGTAATTGTTCTCCTGCCGCTTGCCCAATGTTTCTGGCTTAATAATATGACAAGAGGATGTAATGTTCCAAAGTCATTGTCAAGAAAACAAAAAGATGGCCGGTCTAACTGATTGGGAGCCGTCATCTCCTCCTGCTCCCAGCCAAAGCCTCGTGAATGAAGCTACACCCAAGGAAGTCTCATTCAAGCAGAGACCTTGCAAAGTTGTAGGGCAACCTGTTGCGCCCCCCCCCCCCCCCCCGGTTGCCACTCCATCGCTCACCAGGCTGTTGCTAATAGAGGAACTTGTTTACAAAAGGCACCCCTCCCTCCCAGCCACTACCACCCCTCGTTAGTACCGTGTCCCTAGAGTCACAACCTCCCCTGCTTGCATTCTCTTCCCCTCTCCCCATTCTGGCCACTTTTCTTTTAAGAGGAAAAATTGCTGCGTAAATTTCCAGGCAGCACGGACCAGGGCGAATAACACCATCTGTCCGTGGGCTACAAAAGTGGGTATGAGGAACACTGGGAAGGAATCTCACTAAGTTGCAGAAAAGTGCTTACTGGGAACCATGCTAAAAGTAGCTTCTCCCTTCACCCCCACAACCCTTTTAAAGTTTTCACTCCCCCCACCCTGCTTTTAGACTAGGAGGTGGTTTGAAGGCACATCAGGTGTCCACCATGTTGAAGCTGAGCAGGCCTGGGCCCGGCCTGAGCTTGGAGGGGAGACCGCCTGGGAACCGCATGGAGACATCTTGAGTTCCACGGAGGCAGAAAGGTGAGATATAAATATAAATAAGCAATTGTTTTGCTCCCTGGATGAAAAGGATACTGAAGAGGATTGGCAGAAGAAACCTGGTTCAATGAGCTGGAAAACCACCTAATGCATATCTTCAGTTGCCCAAGTATCTATGGGGAAGCACATCTGGAAGGCTGCATAAGAGAGTTTTCCCATCAGCACCCCCCTCACCCCATCCAAGCCATCCTCTGGTTCACTGTCAGATATACCGGAAATTGTGGGTAGAAGCAGCTGGGGGGTGCTGGGTTCGGGAAGACTAACCTACTTTCAATGGACTGGAAAGTCCCAAGAAACTTGTAGTGGGCATCCTACAAAAGCTTTTAATAATTACATAAATAAACAAGTAATAAAATAAAAGGTCATGTGCGAAATCAGTGTAATATTGAGCAAAGGTTAACTGGGGTACATTCATATTATTTTGATTGCAGATTTTATGTTGAATTTGTGTGCCACTTTGGGTAGCAAATCCATCAATAAAATTATTTATCTCTTTCTCTTTGAATCGTTATTAAAATGCTGTAATACGAGAACATTATTTTATTATAAATGCACCCGTTGAGCTTCCTAGATTCAAACAAGGTTTTGAAACATGATCTCCACTCCCCACAAATGTTCAAGTGATTTATAATCACTTTTTCTTAATATAAAAATTAAATATGTGCATCAATAAGTCTGATTTTCATGTTCACCTTCCCGACTAAAGGGAATATCCATTAACATTTTGAAATTAATTTGCTCTTTAAGATAAGCGCAGTCCCTTCTGAACTAGGATTCTTTTAAGGTGAACTGGTGATGGAGAGGTCTTCCCACTTAATTCATCTGATTCAGATAATGGCAGTGTATTTACAAATAGATGGAGACTGATAAGTGTATGTTGAGTGAGAAAGCATCAGCGTAATGTAATGAGCTCTGGCTTACATCTCACAATCAAGAACAAGCGACGTTCACAGATTATGCTTTCAGCTGCATACATAACATGATTTGCAAGAACATAATGCATGAGTGAAAGACGCATGCATTGTTATGCTGTGGCTGATGAGCATTTGACTAAGAAACTGGTTTATAGGAATCAGAAAATTGGAGCTTGCCTCTTTTGTAAAACCAGGCAAGATGCAGTCTCTTTGCATCAACTCTACCTCTCTCAGACCCAAATGAGGAGAATCATATTTCCCAGCTTCCCAGGATTACAAGATAAGGTATGCAGATGAAAGTCCTTCTTGAGGAATAGTTTGAGGAATGAGGAGGGAGCAGACAGGTCTAGTTCATAAGGATTCCATCTCTCCCATCATGTAGCCTATGCCAAAACCTGCCAGTTTCCTGTGGCTAGTGTCCATCAGGCAAAATAGAGAGCCCCAAGGTCCTGCTGTCCAAACATCTCCCTGCTCAAGCTGATGAAGGTGGCCATGTCTTGGAGAGCTTTAATATGCCCACTAAGACCACCTTATCTGGAGTCTCTCAGCATGAACCCGAATTAAATAAGCTTGGTTCTAACACACGGGACAAACCATTGATCTTGGACTGCTGCTCAATGAGGAAGATGCTCCAGTAATAGAGGTTCCATTGTCATGGTGCTTTTGGTGCGTTCAGATCACTACCTGAACAGGTTGGACCTTTAAACTGCTATACATTCTGCAGGGATAAAGGATGAACCACCCATTCCCAAAACTCCCCATCACTCCAGAAAGTTTCTAAAGGAATGTTTTGAAGTTTTAGCCAACACACTATAGGTCTGACTCTGTATCTGCAGTGAAGTGAGCTCTTAATACATCACTCCCAAACATCCTCAAGCAAATTGTAGAGCTGTGTCAGCTCATTGGTATTTTGAGGATGGAGGAAAATGAAATGTTTGGATTAATGGCTAGAGCACAGATGGCAGAAAACTTGCTGAAAGCATGAGCAAACACAGGTGGGAACCAGTTTGGGATTTGCTCTGGGTCAGTGATGGCAAGAAGGAAGGGTTACGTCTCTGCTCCCATTATATCCGCACAAATATTGCCCAGAGAAGCTATGCTATTGTCTCTTCTGTAGAGACCCAGGAGATCAGAATCAGGAACTTCTGCAATTTTGCTGTGACCAATTTACATTACAATTTGTGATGAAATTGCTTACAGCTGCACCTAATTAGAAAACAATAGATGATGAGATGAATGAGGCTAGGACACTATCTATTCATGTTATTACAGATACCACTTGGAGAGTTGAGGCCCACCTCCTATTCTCTTGTGGGCAACAAAAGCAGCTCGGACAGATCTGAGGATCTAGTGTTTTAAGAGGATACGTGATTTTCTAGGAAGTCTTTCATGACCCCTGTTGATAAAGAGATAAAGTTGGTACCTTTGCTAAAGGCATCAAGCTTGACATGATAAGATATGGCAGCTACTATGCACTGTCATACCTGCCCTTCTTGATCAAGGTTAGGGTTATGGTCAGGTACCAGCCAGTATGACTATGTAGACCAACTGCTGATGAATTTGGTCAGGAGGTGCTACTGAATTTGCATCATGTCCTGGAAGAAGCCACTGTGCACAGAGGCTGGAAAAGAGACCCTTGGACTGACCCCTAGCGATTTTGTTGTCTCCCTCCCAATAAGTGGCAGACATTATCAGTGTAATGCTGAACATGTGTACTAGCAGTAAGCCCCTTTAGCCTCAATGGGACCTACTCTTGTGTAAGCATATGTAGAGGCCCGAACCCTCCATCAGAGAAGAATGCAAATACAGTCAGGATAGCCACTGCTTTGGAAGCCTTTAGAAAGGGTTTGGGCAAATTGATGGAGGATGTCTCCTAGTCCTGATGGATACATGCTCCTTCCAGTCCCAGAGGCACTAAAAATTATACACAACATGGGTAAAGAGTATGTGGGTTCCAATCTACTGGTAGATTTCTAGATGATTTGCACGGATCGACAAGAGTTTCTGACTCCCAGTTCTCTGAAACATCACCCACAAATTAGGTTCTGGGGAAAAAGGGTCAAGTACGAGAAGAATTTTTGTTTGAAAGGGCTCAAGGAGCTTTATTCTAACCATTCTAACCATTCTTATTCTGCCCACCAAAGCCTTAATTTCGCACCTGGCTCTGGGCAGATGGACTTCAGGATTAGAGATGTCCAAATTGGTCCACTGAGTTTCCCTGATTTCCACCTCAAACTTATAGCTCAAATCTGCATCACAATTTCATTTTTATGTAGACATCAGTTTCACATGGATTTTTTCCTATTGTACTCATCCAGGATAGGAACTAGGTTCATGCTGATCAAAAATGAACTGAAACATTTTTTACATACATCCCTACTCAGGCTTCTAGTCTTGTTAAGTGAAAATTCTCAGTTTGTTGGAGAGGTAAACATTTACATACAGCAAAATGAGATGGGAGAGTTCTTAGATACTGAGAGTCAAACAAGTTAGCACATCTTTGAATGTCCCCCCTTCCTCTCTCACACACACCTTTCTTATAAGTTCAAATGGTAACATACCAGGCATATAGCTTCTAAAGAGGCTGAAGGGTGATTCATAGGTTGAAATTATGTGGCTGTAGTTGTTCTTTTAATAATTACTGTTATTTAGACTGCTTCCCTAACTGCTTGTTGGCATCTGCAGGGTGAGTTGCAATCTTCCGTTTGCACTACGAATTGAGAAATTTTGTTTTACCAGCTCAGGATTCTATCAGTGAATCCACTCCTCATTTTGCTAATCAAATGCATAAAGAAATCACCTTACCTCTCTCACATGATCTTCCAAGGTAGCCTGTACCAGAACAATCACAGACGTATCTGTTCCAGCCATCCCTGCATCCGCCGTTGTTTTTGCAAGGATTGCTCAAGCATGGCTTTGCCGTCTCCCTTGAACACGAGGGCTTCACACCTGAGGTGCTCTGGATTTCCGCCATTTGGCGAATATCTTTGCTTTGGCCATCGATGAAGAGGTCCCGAATGCAGCCCACATAGCCGTAATTGAGCAGTGCTGTCCAGACCTCTGTCGGGAAGACCAGGCCGGCTTTATTTTCGGGCAAACCTCCAAGGTACAAGTCATCGTCTAGGTCCAAGATCTCACTCTCTCCAGGTGCTGTGTAAGGAGTACGCATCGTGTTGACAGAAATAGTACCTGTGTGGAAACAGAACGCCAAGGTTGTTATCTGCTCTTTAAACAGAGACACTTGTCATGGTTGGATTTGTTTGTCCATTTATTATTTGGATTGTCAAAATCATGGTACACAAGAAGTTTTGCTTTAACGATAAGAGAATCAACAATCACAAACTTTCAATACTCATGTTTCTGACAAATGGAAATCAACACAAATAGACCATGGGAAATGAACCCATATAGAAAAAGGAAATGAAAATGTAGATCTGGCATATCCCGGCTATTTAAACTATGAAGAGCAGTGCAAACCCCCTCTCTACAAGCAAACGGAAGCAAGAGCAACCAGCATGTGTCTGAACAAGTCCCATTTTTCACCGTCCTGCTCAGCACAGAAACTGAGCCTCTTGGGGTGAGGAATTTCCAAGAGAGAGCACCATCATGGAGAAGACCTTCAACTGAGTGATCCCTCTTTGCATCCTCGTTTGGCAAGGGTACCATAACAGGACTGTCCACATTTCATAGCACTGGGAGAAGAATCTGAGATGAACAGCTTCTTCAGATGATCAGAAATGAGACCATGAGGGCACCCTTCAACACCTATGTTTTTATTTAAGATTTTAATCCTATTCCTATAATTTAAAAAAAAAACTTAAGGCAAATAATAATACATTTAAAACACAATATACAGATTGAAAATCTATCTTCTTTTCTCAAAGCTCTATTACTTCGAGTTTTCTTTTCACTGATGTTTCCAAGAAATGCTATAGGCTTGAAACTCAACATTAAGAAAACTAAGATCATGGCATCCAGTCCTATCACTTCCTGGCAAATAGATGGGGAAGAAATGGAGGTAGTGACAGATTTTATTTTCATGGGATCCAAGATCACCGCAGATGCTGACTGCAGCCAAGAAATTAAAAGACGCTTGCTCCTGGGGAGGAAAGCTATGGCAAATCTAGACAGCATACTAAAAAGCAGAGACATCACCCTGCCAACAAAAGTTCATATGGTCAAGGCTATGGTTTTCCCAGTTGCAATGTATGGCTGTGAAAGTTGGACCATAAGGAAGGCTGAGTGCCGAAGAATTGAGGCCTCTGAATTGTGGTGCTGGAGGAGACTCCTGCAAGTCCCTTAGACTGCAAAGAGATCAAATCAGTCAATCCTAAAGGAAATCAACCCTGACTGCTCTTTAGAAGGCTGGATACTGAAGACAAAACTGAAATACTTTGGCCACCTAATCAGAAGGACCAACTCACTGGAGAAGACTCTGATGCTGGGAACGATCGATGGCAAAAGGAGAATGGGACGGCAGAGGATGAGGTGGCTGGATGGAGTCCCTGGGGTGGTGGGTATGGGATTGGGTGGACTCCAAGGGATGGTGGAGGACTGGAGAGCCTGGAGGAACGTTGTCCATGGGGTCATGAAGAGTCGGACATGACTTTGTGACTGAACAACAACAAAAATGCTATTGTCTGTCACATCCCTGTTCAAGTAAGCTTCCCTGTTGTCAGAGAGGGGCGGCAATTTGTATGGTGCCCCAGCTCCAAGATCCAGCAATCTTGGAGCTGGGATCCAAAGGGGAGCCGTCATCCTGTCTCCTTGCTGCTGACATGGAAAGAGCTGTGCTGGTTGACTCTGTGCTCCTGAAAAAGCACATCCCCCTGGAGGGGATGAAAAGTGGCATGCCAAAAAGCGAGGAGGCTGGGGTTGAGCTCTTCTCAGTGCCGTCACCCCCTCCCCTCCCCTCCCTTCCTTGGCTCTTAAAAAATAAGAGCCAGGGCATGGGGGGGGGGGGCTGTGTCTGCCACCATCATGCCCCACTCAGGGCATGGGAAACGTGCAAGCCCACAGGTCCACCTGCACCAGCGTTGAGGGTGATAGTATTGCACCATAATGCTGCGATTCGAATTCTCTAAGACCACGAGTTACCCTGGACAGGATTGTGCTGCAAATCTGACCTTCCTGGGCTCCAAGGTTTACAGACTCTCTTAATTAACTCTGAGTTGGTGAATTAGCATCCATGCCAGCGAACAAAGCAGAAGACAGATCAGCACTTACAGCAGGGAGAGAAATGTACAGGGAAGGGCAGAAGGGCCTGGGTATTTTCAGAAGTTTAATTTGCATCTGTAGCAGCAGCCAATAAAATATATTGTTGAGCATTTAAACAGGGTTGTGGTAACAACCAATTCATGGCCTGCTGGATTGCTTGGTCTAATTGGATGGTGGTCCACATGCATCCTATTTACAAACATCCTTTACTTCCTGGGAGCAATCCCCCTTCTCCCTCCTTCAACCCCTCTCTAAGTTTTGGGGAGCAGGTTGGGGGTGGCTGACAGGGGCTGGGATATGAGAATCAGCACTCTTCGACTTTGAGGTCAGAGCATGGCATCTGACCTCAGAACAAGAAATCCACATGACTGCAGGGCTCCCAGGATGAGGTCCAAGGAAGTTAAAATCATTCCTTAAACTTTTCAGTGCTCATCCCTACCCTGACCTCCCACTCCAGGGTCCTCTGCCATCTTGAAGACATGCTTTCTGCTGTGACTGGTATTATTCTTGTCCTAGGACAGGAACTTACCATGCTTGTCTGCTTGCAGGATTTTCTAGTGTGCAAAATGGAGCTTCCTCAGTCCTGAGCAGAACTGAACTGGGGCTGAAAACTAGAAAGCATGGTGCTGAGGATTTCCCAGCATTCTGCAGAAGCATGAATGTAGCCAGAGAGATGTGTTGGGCTTAATTGCTGTGAGAAACCTGTGGGTTCTCAGTGATGGTTTGAGATCACCAGCTCCAGCTGCTGGGTCCTGTGCATTCCTTGGCTTATCCTCGAGATATGGATGTCTGCAGATCCTTTTGCAGAATTCAATTGGTATAGAGGGGTTTTCAAGGAAGCAGGGCTAGCTTACGTGCACTGACAGCCTTTGAAACAGAGGGAGAGAGGAACTGTATAAAATCCATGCCTAGGGACTTTGCCCTTTCTCTCTCCACTGGGAACCAGAAGCATGGAAGAAATCAAGCCCTCAGGAGCAACATTTGTCACATCAGGAAGTCCCGTGACTAAGGGAAGTTGCGATCTTCTTCTTTTGTTTGCTTGCCGATGATCTGCATCTATAGTTCATTTTTATCCACGGCTCCATCCTGATCTGGGAATGGGTCTTTCCATTCCTTCCCAGTGTCATTTTTCGAAGCAGCACCAGCAGAAGTTGGACAGCCACTGGATGCTTTTTCCAGGTGTTATATTTCTTATGATGGCCCATATGGTCAGGTTTGAAGAGGAATGCACTCAGTGCATGCAATGATGGGAAGGGAGGAAAGGGACCCTCCAGCGGTCCATCAGGGATGCTTGGTGTGACCTCTCTTGTAGAACACACCTATCTATGATCATTCTCTTTGCAACCATTGCTTTTTGGAGGGCTTCAGGACCAGCAATCAACACAGGGGAAATGCCATTTTCCTGTATTTATTACATTTATATTCCACCTTGGTTGCCTTGCATGGAACCCAAGGTGGCTTACGTGATCCATCTCTTCCCCTTTCCATCCACACAGCACCGCTGTGAGGTAGGCCAGGCTGGCCCAAAACCACCCAGTAAGCTTCATGGTCATGCCAGGGGACTAAAACTCAGGTCTCCTGGATCCCACTTCAACAGTAAATACTGTGTCATACTGCAAGTCATATTTAAATATGGCTGGTCATCAGTTATCACAGCATCATATACTATGATTAGGAGTGTTATCATCATCATCATCATCATCATCATCATCATCAATCATTTCTATATTGTCCCATAGCTGAAGCTCTCTAAGATACGATGCTGAATCTCTTCTTCACCTCTGCCCTGGAAATTTACCCTTATTATAATGTTGGAACACTGGCCCTGATCAAACATTCGTTCGACTGCTGAATGATCCCCCTAATTTTTGTCTGCTCTACAAAGCATTTCATGGAATCTGAGCAAGCAGAACCCTAGCAAGACTGCATACTCCACACTACCAAGCCATACGTCCTCAAGCTGGACATACGGAAGAAACTGGCAAGAGTCCTTGTTCTGCATGCTTTCCTTGTTTTCCTCTCTCCTCATCACAGTCGCTTAGCCACTGGGAGAGATAAATCTGTCACTTTCCATTTCTCTTTCAGATTTTTAAAATGTTAGGTTTGTTTCCATCTTGAATATAAAGAAATGTGTGAAGGTTGTTAAGTTAAAAGCAAACGAACAGACTGAAATGATCTTGTCCATCTGCTCAAGCCAAATTCTATAGACACATGAAGTAAATCTTGGTGTACCTGCTGGCCAGAGAGCTTTTAAGGAGGAGGACCTGCTCATTAGCAACAACAACAACAACAACAACAAAAATACATAAAAAAAGAAGCAGCAGTGCTAATTCAGCACAGCAATCATGGCTGAATGCAGAGGGATTCAATCCCAGACTTTTAAGAGCTCAGCTCTCAAAGTCCTGTGTTTCATCGGACAAATCGGTCAGTTTTAGATCTAATGTGTTCATTAAAAATTAAATAGGAAGACATGTGTAAACTGTGGAAAACCCTTATTGGGAAGGAACTGTGACAAAATTCTTGCCACCTGTGCTTCATCCTTTGCAGGATGCTTGTACTGTCAGCCCATCCAACGAAACACCTCTCAGTTCTTTGGATTCTATGAATTGTCATTCCAAGAGGAGTGCCATTAACAGGAAAATGTACTCCGTTCAGTTAGAAAGCATCATATAGAGTTGTTTATCCCTAGAAAGTAATGGCAGTCCATTAAAAGACGTTCTTTGGTTATTTAAAACTGCAATGAATAAGTACAGCTACTCCTGGAAGACATGGTGTGTGTGTGTGTGTGTGTGTGTGTGTGTGTGTGTGTGTGTAAGATAAAGAGAGATGAGGGAGATACTCCACAACAGTGTCTTGAAATGGATATCTGGAAAGTGGAGCTCTGAGTGAGAGTATGATTACTGTAAACCTCTAATTATATACTCGGGAGACAGTCACGCGCCTTTTCTCCCTCTGTAATTTCTAGCTTAAACTGGAACTTTGACTTTAATTCAAAATCTCAATGACTCCTTAGCCCTTAAATGCTGGCTTAGCTGTGAAAAACTGCTGATACAATCTGGTTTGCACTGCCATGCACAACTGGAGTTTGACAGGAATAATCAGTTTCCTCTCCTGTTCCAATGCGTAATGATGATTTTCCCGAAAGGGTGAATGACGGCTGTGTTGGGGGAAACCCTGCTTGAAAATGTGGGAGACATTAAGGAAACGTTCTGGGGTGCTCGCCTCCCAAGGCAATTAGGCGTGCATCCCAGGCATGCTGCAAAGCCTCAGAAAGCCAAGACCTCTGCAGATTACTTTTGCGGGTTTGCAGTCTCCCCACTTCACTTCCCCCTTTGCTCTAACTGCAAAGCTGGCAGGATGGTAACAGCAGAACAAACATTTCCCACAGGTATGTGCTAATGAGTCTCTTCAATCATATTCATTATCTCAGCAATTTAGCTTTAACAAGTCCGCTTACTAAACTCAAGACCTGGCAGCAGCCATGACACCAAGCTGCAGCAGGGCGAGTGCAAGCAAGTGGGACCACTGTCCATTCTGCAAAGAAGCACCACGATCAAGTTCATCCCAACTGCAGTGGTCACCTGGCCTCAGCCAATGCACCAGCAGTGGAGGCTGGCACTGTGGTGGTGTCTTCACTCTAGGTTGAACATGAAAGGACTGTCCACAGTTCTCAACCCAACCTCCATCCTACTCCTCAGATGGGTTCAACACCACTAATGGCTTCTTAAAGAGTAGGTGTGCATGACCACTGACCTTGGAGCCATCACTCTCTGCCGTGAATCAACCAGCTACGAAGGGACAACTGCAGCATGCCTTGTTTTGACACACCTCCCCTGGGTTTCTTGATCCCTGCAAAAGCAGGGGGAGCAAACCTGCCGGCCAGCCAACAAAAAGACCTCCACAAGAAGTGCAGAGCTTTCAGTGCCAGGCCACTGCGTCTGTACTCTGTGTGGGTGACCAGAACAGCTTCCAGGCTCCATGGCAGCAGCCAGTCCCTTGGGGGAAGTGCTGTGATTTCAGTCCACATCCACTGGGCCTTTCTGGGTGCTTCCATTGTGGGGATCGGCAGAAGGTCAGCTTTCATCTGCTGGCCATTGAGATCTCCAGGATGCTCCAACAGAAATTCCATGTGTTTCATGCTCTTGGAAGCCACACTGTGGGGGCAGTGTGCCCCAAAATGCAGCTTAATTCTACATACATGTATATACAGGCATGCATATCACATTTGAGTTGAGATAACCCTCTTATTTCATCCACTGTGAACTGTTTGAGATAAACCCAGCTTTACGCCTTGATCTCTGTTTTCCCTCTCTTTGGTGCTGTGAATTCTGGTGAAAAACTTTCTAAAGGATGAGTCAGCTGGGGCTATGAAGCAAAGAAGGTTTTCAGAGGAAGAAGAAGACACTAAAGCAGCAGCAGATCAGGGAAATAATGGCTACGAGGCATGAAAAGATGTGAACTGTATGTGAGGCTGGGTTTTTCTGAGACCTTTTCATCCCTCGGAATGGCAGAATTCACACCCCAAACTTGAAGGTCATGAAAATTCAATGGTGGTGTGCAAAGAAACCATGTTGGGAATAGATCTCATTCAAGCAGGAGCATTTGACATGACCTGCGTGCTGTAGGCTGGAGCTGTTCTGCAGCAATCCCAGTGTCACTGTGGCACTCCATGAATATGCAGTTGTGTTACATTTTCTCAGTTCCTCTGGGATTGAACTGCATCGTGTTAGGTTCTGGTATCAAGGCATTTGGTTAGGATAGATTCAATTGCAGGGAGAAAAAGGACAACATGTGCAGCCATCCTTCCAAAGGGCCCAAGAGACATTACTTTACATCTTTGCCTAGTGGTCTCTCTCTCTCTCATATTCTCTCTAATCCAGATCTCCAAAACTCCTCTGCAAAAGGGAAGATGACACCACTACCGACACTGTAAATGCAATGTCCTCATTGGCTCTCATCCATAGGATTTTAAGGATGGCTGGTGGTCCATACATTGGCATCAATCTCTTGCAATCCCCCTGAAGCTCTGTTTCTTTGCAGCAGGCGAGAATGGGGAGGCTGCCTTGGGTACCAAATTCTAGGAGCACCAAAGTGATGCTTTGTCAAAGGTGGCATTGCTTTGAGTCCACACCTGTGTTGCCTACCCAGGTCTTTGTGCTGCTCGCTGCAAGCCCACCCACTATATCTCTCTCTCTGAGGAATATTCCAGGATGAGAGATCAGGAGAACCACCATAGCTGCACAACAGGGCTTGCGGCAGAGCCGGTCAGGCCCGATGCCAAACTTTGGACATCATACCTTAAAGCAAAGCATTTGGAATGACCTTCCTAGGAAGATTCCCTGTGCTGTCAGGGCGCAGAACAGCTCGAGAGCTACAGCAAAATGCTCTAAGCATACATTTAAGGAAGGACTCCTTGAAGTGCAACACGAGCCAAGTCAATTTAGCCAAAAGACCATTTGCCTAAATTGCCAAAATGGGACTTTCCTCCTAGATTTCTCACTGCTTCTTCTACTTTTTTTCTTATTATAAAAAATCTGCTAAGGAAGGGAAGGCAGCACAGCCATGCAATAGCTGCTGACTGGAAGAACCCTCAGGCTTGTAACACGGACTACTACAAATCACAGGAAGAGGCAGAAAGAAGGACGCTGTGTGTGTGTTTATGTGCATGTAATAAAGCAACATGGCTGCTGACCTAGCATCCAAGAGTAAAGAAAATTAAGAAACCTTCTTTAGAAATGTCACAGCTCTTTCTTATCTATGGGCACCACTCTGTAGTGGATTTGCACGCTGCCTAGACATCCATAAGAGTAATAGATTGCAAAACATGAAGAGCGTAGCTTAGCAGAAAATAGATTGGCAGTTCATAAATAGGGTTCTGGAAGGTCTTCCGTTTGTCTGGCAGAAACACGCATAGCTCATCTGGATGCACTTCTTAAAAGAGTAACACATTACTGAGTGCCATCTATGATTGTTGGTTTTGTTATGAGTTAAAGCTGCAGACAGAAACCTCAGGCACACGGTCCCTCTCTCCTTTCAGCTTGGTCACAAAGAAGAGGTAGGAAGCATCCCCTTTTAACCATGCTCTTTCTTCAAAAATGGACAAGCTGTGCTTAATTTAAACTATGATTTAGCTAAACAAGCTAAGATCAAACTGTGGTTTCTCATCCTTGTTTGTTCAAACAAGTGTTATAGTTAAAACTGGAAAGTACAGTGGGTTTAAAATAAAAGTGAGTAAGCTTCTGATCTCCTTCTGAATTACAGGAGAAGACAATCAATCGCTACTTGCCCTGATGGCTCTATGCTACCCCCAGGACCAAAAGGACTTCAGGGGGGAGGTACTGTTCCAATCATGTCCTTTACCTTCCCCACAAAAATCTTCTGGAAGGTCCCCTAATTCTCCAGAACAGATTTTGGGACTAGGATATATACAGTGGGAGGAGAAATTCAGTCTGCCAGCAGTGTCTCTTTCACTGGCAGAAGAACACCCTTCCATATAACCCAGTTGTCCCCATGCCGAATATCTTCTAAAGAGATGGTGCTCTGTATGCCAAATCAGTAATTGAATCAATTTACTAGTCTATTGGGTTGATGGTGGCATTACACTGTGAAGTCATTGGGTGCGCCTGTATCTGAGCAGAGTTGGGTCCAAGTCGTTGAGGGCCTTTGGAAAAGGTACATTCCAAAGGTACATTCCATCAGAGAGTCCAGCTTCTCACTGCCTTTGCCACCAGCTGCTCTGGCTCCTCAGCCCCTCTCTCATCATGGCTACTGTTTGCTCAATGCAGGGGAGCCAGGGAGCTGCCCCTCCTATCTCTTACCACCATTATCACTACCACCCTACCTTCCCCTATGGTTCATCAACAGATGGCAGGTGAGCAAGCCAGTTGCAATGGCCAGGAGGAGTCCAGGGGGCTCTTGTGGGTGGCCTCTGCTGGGGTGAAGGCCCTTGGCAGGTGTCTAACCGTGCCTACCTAGATGCTGGCCTTGTATCTGGGAGGAAGTTGGGAGTTCCTATTGCTGTCTGCTTTTAACAGAGGGATGCAACAAAGTTTTTCTGCAGGGTCCTGTTTTATACTTCAAAATACCCAAAAACACCAATTGCAAGTTGAGTAGCATTTCTCCATCAGAGAATTGTTCCTCTGCTCACTCTGGAAATCAGCTGTCCAGGGGCATTAAAAACTTGTCTTTTATCTCAAAAGATACATCACTGTATAATATTAGTAATAGCCAATGGATCATCCAATGCCATTGCGCATTGTTTCCAGTGTACAATAATGTAAACGGGTGGACATTTCTGCCAACACTTACCTGACCGTCCATCTCTCTGGAAGTCCACATGGTACCATTCTCCATCATTCACCTTCTTTTGCAAAGCTCTTATTTTAATTGTACCAGATCCCATGTCTAGCAGGAGGTAGAGATGTCCGTCAAGCATCTCAATAGCAAAGAAGTCCACTTTCACCATTTGTGGGTGCTTGGCATCTTTCTGATGTCGTGGTTTGCCATGGCTGAAAAGGATCAGCCCATTTGGCTCAGTAGTACGAAAGTCAAATGATATTGATCCTGTTTTCTTGGCATTCCACTTTGGCAAGGAGATGAAAGATTCTGGCGTTTCAAAGGTGATTGGATCTAAGGTCGCCACATTTTCACACTTAAATGCTACAATACCGTGGATCTTCATCTTAGGATCTCCTTGTTTGGCGAGTCGAGACAATTCCAGTCTTACATCGTTGTTCTTATACACAACCTGCAAGCAAAGGACAGTGATGATCAGAATGGACAACTGCATAAACAGAACTGAATTGTGGCTTCAAGAATCACACACTTCATCAAATTTCACATTCTCAAGATGAGTGATATTTATTTATTTTTATTTATATGCCGTCCCATAACCTGAGGAAGATTATAACACCTTTCTCCTCCTCCTCCTGTACTACACCCTGCCCCAGAATTTGCCTTGTCCCTCAGCCTGCATTCGTTCTTGACTCAGTTACTTGGTATTAAGTTAGCACGACTCTTTCATTCCTTGAGACATCATCCAACCAACACAGTTTGCTTCCCTTCCCCCTCAGGCACGACACATATGCTGAGGACTTCGAGGGATCATTTTACTTCCTTATTCCATCTCCTACAAAACATTGTAATGCCTTACTCAACAGCTTATATTCCTGAGGAGCAGGATAAGGAATTCCACCCAAAGTAGTGCTCTTATTATTGTAAGCCATCCTGGGATGATTTCCACATAGGGCGGAGTAAAAATATTTTAAATAAATAAGATAAATAAATGCAGTAACTTTCAAAAGTGTGATGGTCACTTCAATGAAATGTAGTTCTTGGCATGTAAAGGTTATTTACACCTTGGCTAGTTAAGATATTTGGCCACCATGTGTTGGCCACCAGTACGCCATTTTAAAAGAGAGGAAATGGCTTTCTAAGCTTCTGATATACAGGAGTAGCCATAAAGTTTCAGCAATCTGAAGAGCTCTTGTTCTTTTCTACCTATTGCGTCTTGCCTTGACCAATGTCTCTAGTCCTTGCCAGTGGCAAGTGCAAGTCAGTTAAGTGACAGGAGTAACTGACATAACACCTCATCCAGTTCTGTCTTCTTGACAACATTGGCTGGGTTTAGACAACAGGCTAATAAACCCTGATGAAGGACCCACAGGGCACGACCCAAGACAAACCATGGGTTCTCTTCATGGGTTGTTCATGACGAACAAGCCATGGCTTGGTAACACAGCTAGGTCCAGACAACAGGATAACCCATATTTCAAGAAACTGTGCTTCAACAACAAACCATGGTCAATTATACTCACCCCTTGAGTGTGGTCTCTCCTATTGTCTGAACCCAGTCACTATCTTCAGGATGATTAACATACCACACTCCAATATGGAGGCTATCAATACAAATGACTGGTAGGAAATGGCAATTCCCACTCATATGGTACTCTCCAAACTGGGGTGATCAACCTCAGGCTCATGGACCAAATCCAGACACCACTGGAATAGGGTCCCTAAGAGATCCTTCAAATTTGTATTCAACCCTTGAGCTGCAAGAGACTGCAACCCCCATTGTACACAGTCAGGCATATCTGTGCCGAAATGTTATGGCCTGCAGTTGTGGTGCAACCAACCCAGTGCCGTTGCAATCATTTGGTTCTTGGTACGTTTCCTGCTTAACTCCAATGGAGGAAGCACAGTAATCAAGAACTGCAACAACATTGTTCCAATGAACTAAATCTGCCCTGCCCCCTCCAGGCACAACCCATATTATAACCTCTTCTCCTTTTAGGGAGAGACCTGCAACATGCTTATGGCAAGAGTCCAGCCAGGGAGCAATATAAAACCCTGCTGAAGAACTCTTGGAGTTCATTAGGTTTCATGGTGGCACTGAATTCAGCAACTGAAGTTCCTGATTACTGCCCAGTTCCAGTGGTCCCTCTTTACATGAAAACACTGCCCATATTTTGCCCAATTCTATTTAAAGACTGCTTCTTGCACATGTTTTGATATGAATGAAAGATGCTAGTGTTATTCGCCTAGGATCTCCAGAAGTTTAATGTTGGAATTATGGGTAAACACAGGGCTTTTTTCGTCATAAAACGCACCGGAATGGCATTCCAGCACCTTTTTTTCATGGATTTTTCCAAGTGATAGTGCTGGGCGTAGCAGATCGGCGGCAGAAATCATTAATGTAGTGCCTGCGGGCTGTTTTTGTGTCGGCGCTGATTGTCGGCGCTGATTGTGAGGGGGTTGCTCGGCTTGGGATGGGTTGTGTGGTCACGTGCTTACTCAGCCAGCGGCGACCATTGTGTAAAAGTGTGACCCCAAGACGTGAGTTCCGGCACCTCTTTTTTTACAAAAAAAGTACTGGGTAAACATAACTGTATTATGTTTCTGTCCTCTGTAAGAGAGGACAGGACCACCTTAGCTTGATTAGTTTATGAACATGGTTCTGCCTAGCTCTCTGATAGGGCACATAATACAGACCAGAGAAGGATAAGTTATGGGTGGTTAGGACTGCGTTTAGGAAAGAGTGGCTGCTTGACCAGGGGACTGGAAGCAGGTCAAGTCAGAGATTTTCATCTTTTCTTTCATCTCCAAGAAAGACTAAGGTGTGCACATTAAAACAAGACAAAACACTAAGGATGTTGGTTGCAAGTAGCACAATGTGTATATTTTTTACAGAATGGCACCCCAAAAGTATGCAGATCTAGTGTGATTTGGGTAAATCAGACCAATGGTTCAAATCGGTACCTGAAAACAAGTAGACATGTGTGCAAATTGCATGAGGACCGTGTGCTTTTTGGGTGCAGATTTCTGCAAATTGGCTGATCTTATGCAAACTTCCTTAGCATGTTTTTTTTTTTTTTTGAATGTGTAATGCATGGTCCATCTCAGAGCTGGACATCCTAACATTGGCTTAGCCCACACCACAGCAAGCTAGTGCCAACAAAGGGTGGCTGAAATGGAATCTGGAAGGCTGCATCATGAAAATGCGCTGAATTTTCACCCTCCATCGCATCCCTAGGGGTGTTTATTTATTTATATTTATTTATTTGGGTATTTTTACCCCATCCAAGACCCAGTGGGTCTCTGGATGGCTTACAATTGTGGTGTGTTGCTCTTGTGTTTGTTCTGTGTGCCTAAATATGAGAAAGGGCAGCATGGCTTGTGGACAATGTGGTATAGGAGGGAACTGTAGTGTTGGCAGGAGGGCCATGTTCACTGGAAGAGTATGTGCTTTGCCTGGCTAAAGAGCCACATTCAGCAACTTGGCAGGGCCTAAATGCTCCAGACCCATTGCCAGTGACTGTAGACAATATTGTGCAAGATCCATCCATGGTCTGATTAAGTATTAGCAAAGATTCCAGTGCTTCCTGGATCTGTCCACCACCCCTGACCATGAGAGGTGTAACAGGAAGCCCAAAGTTATCACTGTGCTCCCAGAACTGGAGAAGAGGTCAATGTAGCTTCCGTCCTTCACCTTCTCCTCTACTCTGGGCATCCCTAGCCTCCTTCTGAGAGCCTGGAAGCCACGTTTGTTATCCTGGAGCAGAAATCATGGGCACTCTTAGATAAGTAGGCTGAGCCCAATCCCTTGCTCTAAGGCGGCCGCTCACGCATTTCCATAAACTGTACATACATCACTGAGGGGGTGGGGGAGGGGCAGCAGCAGGAGCAGAGGGGAACATATATGCATAAAATTCATGTATACTAATTAATATTCTTGGATAAAATTGATAAAGAGCTACTATAACTGAAAAAGAAATGCATCCATCCTAGTGGGGAAGACCATGGCCTCTGCCTGTGGACCTTCCCACTCCATCTGGTCTTCAGATGCTTCCTGTTGGTGGGCGACTTCAAGGCCCCTCCTACTCTTCCTTCCAGTGGTCCGTTGACTTTGAGCTGATCAGGGACTGAAATGCGTTTCATACAGAGGACACTTTCAGAGAGAGGACTATCCTCTGGCAGTCTTTTAAACAGAGAGAGTCACCTGTAAAGTAGGGCACGTGGCCACCCTGTCTCACATTACCAGAAGCATTGGTTTCAATAATAGCTTTTATAATATACAGAGAAGTGGGAATAGGGAGAAGGGTGATAATATGGTGGTGTGGAGGGGGGCTGCTTCTATCCCTCCCTTTCACTGCATATCAGGCATGACAGGTCTTTAGGTGGCGTGCATTAAAGACAGCTTTGTTATTCCTCCACTTAATCACATGCGCTTTAGTTAATTCACCCACTTAATTATGAGTTCTTGCTCTGAAAATATTTTTAGTTTAAAATGATCTTTAATTCAAATAATTGGAGGGGGGAGGTTCAATGAGATATCTTTTCAAGAATTAAAGCATGCGGTGAATTTGCTTGCCTAAAAGATTTCTGCACACTTCTATTTTGCTGATTTAACAAAGTGTTAGATTTCTTGCTCTTCTAAACCTGTTATCACTTCCTTAAGCCTTCCCCTCACCTATATACAATGTGCCAAGGTCAGACTATAAAGTGAACTCGATTTGAGCATCGTTTGGGAGTGTTGTCCTTGAAACTAGGACATGAGAGCAACCTTGTTAGTTAGGAAGCAATGCCACTACAGCCAATATCAAGAGAAGCAAGGCTAGCCCAGAAAAAGCAGAGAGCAAGTCACTCGACTTAATTCTTTCCAAAAAGCAAAGACTGATGGAGGATTATCTTGATGAATTTGAAAGATGATGTTGGATCGAGATTTCATCAGTTAATCTCACAAGTGTTCCTCTTCCAAGACATTCATACATTTTCTTCCAGGATTCAGAGAAAACTGGACACATTACCCAGGCAATATATAAATGGTTTTTCTACCATCCATCCATATTTTACATGTTCTTGTTTTTGAGAGCATTTCTTAGTCAAATATTCCATCAATTCTGAAGATTTAAAAGTTACATATATGGTACAGCTGCTATACTTAGATGGGAGTGCAGAAAAATGTAGCAGGTCGAAGGATACTTCCTAAACTTCTTGTTTGTTGTTGTTGTTGCTGTCAAGTCATCTCTGACTTACGGCAACCCTACGAATGAAACCCGTTCACGGATCACTGCCTTGTTGTGGCGAGGGGGCTTGTGTAGCTCAATGAAGCTATGAGCTATGCCGTGCAGGGCCACCCAAGACGGACAGGTCATAGCAAAGAGCTCTGTCAAAACGTGATCCACTGGAGAAGGAAATGGCAACCCACTCCAGTATCTTTGCCATGAAAACCCCATGGACAGTACCAAA